AAAGCATTTCTCTGATTTTGCATATAAGGAATTCAAGGCCCAGAGTGATAAAATAACTTGCCTATGGATCGTATGAAATGTGTTAAAATAAATATTTTTAAAGTAGGGGTGTTTAAAGCTCTAAATATGTTCAAATAACTCATAGGAATGCAGGGAAAAATGAAAAAAAAAACACAAGGAAGAAATGGAAGGCAAAAATAAAATGATAAGTACTAGCATAATAATAATTACATTAAATTTAAATTATCTAATGTTACAAATTAAAAAAACAAACATTTGCAAATTGGATTTTTTTTCATTTTTTAAATTTCAAATTATTAAGGGAGTACAAATGTTTCATTACATGGCTTGACTCAGAGCTGTAAATGTGCTCATCACCTGTACCCATTAGGTGGGCTTTTGCCCCTGTGCTTCTCTGCTCTCTCTCTTGCTTGATTTCCAATGACTTATACTTCCTTCTATGCACTTCCATGGCTATCAGTAATTCCAATTTTTTAGAGCATACATGTAGCATTTGTTTTTCCATTATCAAGATACTTTGCATAGGATAATGATCTCCAGTTCCTTCCAAATTGCTTTAAAATGCATTAATTCATACCTTTTTATAGCCAAGTAGCATTACACAGTATATATATATGTATATATATATACCACATTTTGTTATTCCAGACAGAAAAGAATGCTTATACACTTTTGGTGGGACTGCAAATTAGGACAACCAAATCTAAGGAGAAATTCTAATGGGTATATGAACAAAAGGTATCATAATAAAATTCTGGGGAATTTACATCTTTACTATATTGAGTTTTCCAATCCATGAATACAGAATGTCTCTCCATTTATTTAAAAGTACTTCCTTTTACAAAATCAGTGTTTTGTAGCTTTCAGCATGTACATAGTATACATGCTTTGTTAGTATTTGATTATTTTAGTAATTAAAAATGGTATTATATTTTAAATTTGTTTCATTCAATTAAAAATACAACAAAATAAATGTAAAGACTTGGAGAAAACATTTTCAAGCCACATATCTGACAAAGGAATCATACCTAGAATATATAAAGAACACTCAATACTCAACATTTAATAGAAACAAACATTTAATAAGAAAATGAAGAGAAATTTCCCCTGAAGAGGATATACAGACCACAAATAGGCACATAGAACGATGTTCAATATCGCTAGCCATCAGGAAAATTAAATTAAGAACTCAATGAGCTATTACTTTGCATACCTATGAGAACAGCTAAAATTAATACACACACAATAATAAATTATGGAAAGAATACTAACAAACTGAATCTTCCATACATTGCTGATAGGATTATAAAGTCGCACAGCTCCTTTACCAATTCCTTTGGCAGTTTAAAAAACTTATAATAACATGTTCTATAAATTGCATTATTATGCATTTATCCTAGAGAAATGAAAACTTACATCTGCACAAATACCTACATACTACTCTTCATAACAGCTTGATATATAATAGTCCAGAATTGGAAACAACACAAGTGTCCTTCCTCAGGTTAATGGCTAAAAATATGGTACATACATATCATGGAATGCTGCTTAGGAATGGACTATTGACACACCCAAGTTTAGTGAATCCCTGGGGAATTATGTGAAAGAAAAAAATCGGATTTTAAAAATCCATATGCTTCGATTCTACTTATACAGTATTCTCAAAGTCACAGTTCTAGAAGTAGGAAACAAATTAGTGGTTGCTGGGAGTCAGGGATAGCAGAAGGAAAGGGAAGAGAAATATTGTGTTAAAGGTGTCGCGACCTGTCGGGCTCCTATGGCTCTGGTCTTGTTAGCTCAGGAAGGAACCAGGCAAGAGGCAGAAAGGGATGTAGAACCGTACACATACATTGTACAATATCAATTTCTTGCTTTTGATATAAGATGTAAGTTGGAGAAAATTGAAGAAAGAATATACAAGACTTGTCTTTGAAACTTCCAGAGACTCTAAAATTATTTCAACATTAAAAAATTAAATTGATTCTAAATCTAATAAAACGAAATTTCAGAATACTTTAAATAGGCAGGTAACTATATAGAACCAAAGTTAATACAGAGCACATTTTTACGTAGAAAGAGCAAGATTGGAAATGGGATATGAATTATAGTTATGCCTATATGCCCGGGTACATTTGAAGAAGAACCAATTCACTTTTCTTTCTTTTTAAATTTCAGATTAATATCAGGGTACATATTATTAGGTTACACTGTATTAGTAAAATCCTAGTTGTAGCTGTGTCCTACACCTTGGGAGGGTTTTATATACTTGTGCATCGCACTACTTGGGGTGGGGAGAACTTGCCAAACCCCTTTCCTCGACCTCCAACTTGATTTTTTTTTTATTAAATCATAGCTGTGTATATTAATGCAGTCATGGGGTACAGTGTGTTTGTTTTATATACAATTTGAAATACTTTCATCAAACTGGTTAACATAGCCTTCATGGCATCCTCTTAGTTATTGTGTTAAGACATTTATATT